GATGCTTACTTAAGAAATCCATTTATTGACTCAAGCAAGCATCTAGATAGTCGTACCTAAAGTTTGATAAGATAATAAGAAAATATGATTTTAAGGAAAATTGTGTGGACAATTGCATCTATACTAAGTTCAGGGGGAGTGAATTTGTTATCTTAGTATTATATGTGGATGATATCCTATTAGCCAGCAACAATAAGGACATGTTGTTGGTAACTAAAGTTTTCCTCTCCTCTAATTTTGTCATGAAAGACCTTGGTGATGCTTCCTATGTTCTTGACATAGAAATTCATCGAGATAGAACTAAAGGAGTATTGGGATTATCTCAAAAGGCATATATAGAAAAGGTGCTAAAAAGATATAATATGCATAAGTGCTCTACTTCACCTGCTCCAATAGTCAAGGACGATAAGTTTGGAACATTTTGGTGTCCTAGGAACAAAGAAGAAGAAAATAAGATGAAAAGAATTCCATACACGCTCTTTGTCGGAAGCATAATGTATGCTCAAGTCCGCACACGCCTCGATTCGGCCTTTACAACGGGATGCTTTGCAGATATCAAAGTAATCTAGGGATTGACTACTGGAGGGCCATTAAGAAGACCTTGCGTTATTTGCAAGGCACTAAGAATTTAATGCTAAATATAAGAAGTCGAATAACCTCGAGGTCATGGGTTATTCAGGCACTTATTATAATGGGTGCTTAGATTCCATTAAGTCCACGTCCTGATATCTATTCACCTTATCAGGGGGAGCTATTTCGTGGAAGAGCTCCAAACAAAGTATAACTACAACGTCAACAATGCATTCAGAATTCATAGCTTTATTTGAAGCAATGGGGCAGACCGTATGGCTTAAGAATTTTATTCCCGAACTAAGAGTGGTCAACAGCATATCTAAGCTACTAACCTTATATTGTGATAATTTATCAGCAATTCTCTATGCGAGTAACAACAAGTCAAGTGGTGCTGCCAAACACATTAACATTAAGTACCATGTTGTGAAAGATAGAGTCCAGGATCAAACAATAAGTGTTGAACATCTAAGTATAGAAGAAATGACCGCAGATCCGCTCACTAAAGGCTTACCACCCAAATTATTTAAGTATCATGTAGCCGGCATGGGTTTATTGGAAAGACTCTGATTCTGGAATAAGGGGACCATTAATGCAACCATCTCTCCATAAGACTAAGAATGATCATTCTAAAATGGGATGATGCGCTATAGTCACTGAGTTCAGTAACACTTAATTGGCTGTTGTAATTCTTTGGTCTTAGTGTGTTGTTTCATTAAAGAGTGGTTATATGTATAAGTACTAGACTCAAGATTAAGGGGGAGAATGTTGGAATAATCTCTCATGACAAGGTCAAAGAACCGAGTCCGAGCCACTCACACGCCCTGATCAGGGGTGCCCAACCAACTAATGGTTGCGCCCCCCCGTTGCGCAGTGCAATAATAAAAGAGGAAGTCCGACCCTCACGCAAACCAACGTTTCCCGTGAAACTAGCCTCGACCCCAACACTCCTAACCCTAACCCGATCTGGGGAGCGCTGTAAGCGACGGGAAGGCCGCAGCCGCTCTACTTCGGCGACCCGAGGAGGAGGAGCACAAGACCGAGAAGGAGACCCAAGGCGACGAGATCCGCGAGTCTACGACGACCATGCCGACTCCTACCATGAACGACAACGAGGGTACATCAAAGTAATTCCAATTCCTAAGTACAACTAGGTGTTCTATCGGTTGAGCTAGGCCATAAGATCCTGTTAAGCATCAATAAGTTCTAACACCCACAACTGACATTGTGGCACCGGTGTGCTGCTTGTGCAGAAGCTCGAGGAGCAGCGCTGGCGCATGCAGGCCGAGGGGCTGAAGGCATTGGCGCGTGTCGAGGAGACCGAGGCGATGCGGTGCGCCGCAATGGTTCGCAGGGGCGGCCTCCATGGCAAGGTTGGACATGGTTCCTCAAGATCTACGGCCTCCTCTTAGACTGCCTCGAGTCATCTCACTACTACTCCGTCTTGCTCCAGCGCGGCCACTTTCATTTGCTGCCTCAAGTCGTGCGGACAGCCGGCCACTGCACCTTGCACCGTTGCATGTGCAAGTGTGCAGGCTGCTGCTACCGTTGAGGCCTTGACGCCCTCTGCTTCGCGTCGGAAGGCTAGCACGGAGACAAGGCCAAAAGCAGGCTCCATGGACAAGCTAAGATGGGTAGCGGCAGCTAGCATGGGGACCGTCGGCGAACGACGCCGCATCCGGCTATGCCTGCTGGCTCGTCCGTCGGCGACGGTCGATCCCCCTGGCCAGGTCCTCTCCTCGGCGACGAGACGGAGCCGGACGGATGGAGGAAGGCGCGGCGAAGCGGCCACTTGTGCGTGCAGCGCTGCAGCTGGACGGACTGAGGAGGGAGTGAAATTACTGATCTACCCTTTTTTTTAAATAATATCTGAAGATTAACTAAAAATTTATAGGCACGGATATCGCATGATTTGGTACTGATCCCGCATGTTTTGGTACTTCCGGGTACCTTTTTCTTGGTACTTCTTATTTTTCTATCGTCCGATGTGAACCAATGGACGGTTCTTATTTTTTCCAACTATCGTAAAACTTGTAAACAAATAAATGCTCTATTTAGGAGATGAAGAAATAATCAACAAAAAGAATTCTGCGCCACATTACCACCACTGTCAGGTAAGTTGTTTTTTTACGATACGAGATCATTCCATTTTCATTAAGAAGATAACAAAAGTTTCATTAGGACTGGTCAATCTCTCAATACATTAATCGTTTCATCAGTCCAATTAAACAAAAGTTGGATCTTCAACTTTCATTAGGAGACTGGTCATGCCGTTAGAATGTCCTGCGTCCCCGCGTGAGCCTCGACACACCGAGCCCCGTTCTATCAGGCCTTCGGCTTAGAGCTTCATTCTTCTGGCCAGAACGTAATACAGTATTATTTGATCCATGAAAATTTTGAGCATGTTTTTTTAACTCTTTAAAATCTGATTTTACATTAAAACGTAATTTTACGCATGCGCATTGGCAACAGAACTCTTTAAATATATGATTCCGGTCACGTGCCATGGCCCGTTATATAACTCTTTAAATATACGCTTTTAAATTGAAAATTTAGTTTAGGATGTGTTTTCCTTAGTATTTTGTGATTTAATAAAATCTTGGGCTGTGACACAGAGATGTGGTAGCCGTTGGTAAGCAACGCACGCTTCTTGTACTATACTCCCTCCAATTTAACTCGTTTTGGAAAAGATTTGGCTCAAACATTGGGAATATAAATCATGAATAACTTTTAAATTATTGAGTTTGGAAATATGAAAACTATATGAATAGATTTGTCTTAAAAAGTACTTTCATAAAAAATATACATATATCACTTTTCATTAAATATTTTTTTTTACATTAATAAGAAGTCAAAGTTATGCTTCGGAAACCGTTTCACTCTCCAAAACCACTTGAATTACCCGTATGGAGGGAATATATATTTCACTTGTTAAGTGTTAAACCCACTTTGAATTTTGATGAAGGTATCGAGAAAAATTCTTAAATATTTGATGCAGGCTTCGGTGCTTGTAAATAATGAGAAACTTTTAGAGACAGTGCGTCCTGGGCGGTGTTTAGTTCCCAACAAAATCCAAACTTTGACACTATGCAAAAAGAAGATTTCCCGTCACATCAAACTTGTGGTACATGCATGGAGTACTAAATGTTGACGAAATCAAAATTAATTGCACAGTTTGGTCGTACTTTGCGAGACGAACGTTTTGAGCCTAATTAGCCAACGATTGGACAATAATTCACAAATACAAACGAAACGCTACAGTGTGCTACAGTGCTAGGGCAGTGATTTTGGTTGTCCAAAATCGGGCAACTAAACAAGGGCCTGGCGTGCATGGAATCGAGGTCGAGGATGTCGGCGTTAGGTGACTGAGGCGTGCAGCCGCATGCATGGATGCATGCGCGGCCTCACGTGGACTCATGTGCAACCAGCGTAGGTATCCGAGCCGTCTAGTACGTGGACTCGCGTGGACCCATGTGCTAGCCGCGTAGGTGGGATGACTGCCATAGAACACTCAGATCTGAACGAAGCAAGAGAAGAAGCAGCATGAGTATGGTGACGGCGCTACGAGAGAGGCAAAATTCCTCGAGTGTTGCTGGCTTCGCCGAGTGCCATAAATCGGGCACTTAAGAAAGAGAATCTTTCTTTTCCGAGTGTTGCACTCGGGGAAGAGAAGCTTTCCCGAGTGCCGTAGAGATCCTGGCACTCGGTAAAGAGCAGCACTCGGCAAACGCCCTCTTCCCCGAGTGCAACATTCGGGAAAGATCGGCACTCGGTAAAGAAATATGTTACTTGACGGTCCACCCCGCCCACGCCATTAAAACTTTAAAAAATAAAATTCTTCCCCGAGTGCTTTTCCTAGCACTCGGGAAAGAAATTTTGTTTTTTTTGCCTCATTTTTTTTGTGAGGCCTTTCCACATTATTTAAAACTCCCTGTTCAAATTTGGGACAATTTTGATTTTTTTTTGTTATATTTCGTTAGTTTTTTTTGTTTCGTTGAATTTTTTTCATACTTCGAATTTGAACATGAAATAATGGAATTTGGTGATTCAAAAAATTATATTAATGATATTTGGTGTATGTTGAGGCCTTATCCAGGAACTCGCATGAAATGTCGAGCATCTTGTTGACGTAACATGACGAATAACTTGCGGGAAAAGTGTTTTTAAATTATATAAAATCTGAACGAAGTTCGAAAATCACGAAACTTGTCTGGGCGTCGTGTTATCGCATGTAGAGGCTATGATAAAAAATCGAGAATGTTTCGAACAAGTTGCGACGTCGGATGTCTAAAACCCAGACATCTCCGCATGCCTCTACAAGTGATCACATGCGGAGATGTTTGGGTTTTAGGCATCCGGCGCGCCCCCTCTCCTCCACCATCCGCCGCCGCCGAAGGAGGAGAAGAGGATCCGGCCGTCTCCTCGCCCCCATGGTACCGCCCCCATTCCATCCTCGTGCTCCCATTCCCATCTTCCTCTTCCTCGTCCTGCCTGTTACATGTGACGCTAACTGGCGCGGCATTCCGCAGGCGTCCGAGAAGAAGCAGTCCAACCCGATGCGGGAGATCAAGGTGCAGAAGCTCGTCCTCAACATCTCCGTCGGGGAGAGCGGTGACCGTCTCACCCGCGCCGCCAAGGTGCTCGAGCAGCTCAGCGGCCAGACCCCCGTCTTCTCCAAGGGTGAGTGTGTGCTGAGGTCTTGCGGCTCCGTTTCTTGCCTTTCGCTGACGGGGGTGCGTCCTTTTGCCTGCTGCTGCGTTGGTCTTGGTCTTGCAGCGAGGTACACGGTGCGGTCGTTCGGCATCCGGCGTAACGAGAAGATCGCCTGCTACGTCACCGTGAGGGGCGAGAAGGCCATGCAGCTGCTTGAGAGCGGCCTCAAGGTCAAGGAGTACGAGCTGCTCAGGAGGAACTTCAGCGACACCGGGTGCTTCGGATTCGGCATCCAGGAGCACATCGACCTTGGTATCAAGTACGGCTCCGTCTTACTTTAGGAGAATCTTAGCTATGATTTAAGGCCACATGTTGTGCCAGTACATTCTTGTTTTTTCGATGTCAACTGGTTCCGAGCTTATGGGTTGCTGTTGTTGTTAGAAGCTTCAAAATTTCGGTCCTCTATTTCCATGTGGTCACTTAGAGGCGAAACCAGTGTTTGCAGTGATAATCTGATGCTAGCAAAATCCTTGGCTTTCTACTCCCGTTGTCCATTAGCTCCACGCCCAGTAATTGTTTCTGAACATGACAGATGCTTTAGTTCACTATTAGCATGTTTTTAAAATTGACTAAAACTTTGTTTTAGGTGTTTGTTGTTTAAGGCTGAGGTAATAGGCAACTTTATTAACAGAGCATCCAGAAATCACAACTCGTTCTGCAGTTATTGCATAGTTAATTGTCATACAAGTGGATAATATTTTCTTCAGTCTGTGCAATGCCAGTTCAGTGGAAGTTTACAGTTTATAATTAGTCTGTGTGCATTGTTGGTACAATGCAGTTCTTGAATTTTGTCATCTGCGCAGAGTTTATCTGGTTTTGCATATACATTTGGTGTTTGTTCCTACCGTTAAAACTGAAATGTGCTCCATATATATAATTTAATTGGCGGTTTATCTTGTTGTTTCAATTTTTGTCTGATGAGCCTTGTCACTAGTATTTGAGGTATTGGTTACTCCTTATGCAGTAAAGAATGTACCAATAGCCATTTAATGACCTGAAATGTTAGCTGGCGTCAGCTGTGCATTGCTAACATGAATCAAGCTATACTGCTACACCTTGTAAATTTTTAACAAGTTGTGAATTTTTATCTTGTCACTCACGTGCAATCTCTTCTCTTTTTTTAACTTGAGCAAGTTGTGAATTTTCAACTTTTCTTTAAACTCCTTACATTTTTATCTTGTCACTCATGTGCAATCTCTTCTCTTTTTTGCAGCATCAATCGGGGGTGGCGTCGAACCATGGCGGAGGGTCACCGGCATTGCACGTCGGGCCATCCCGACCTGAACACTCGCCGGGATCGCACCCTGGGCGTCCCAACCTCACTGTCGCCGTGAGCTGCCTGCAGAGTCGCTTTTTATGTATTGAACTTGTGAACTTGGAATAGTGTATACTTTTGAACGTGTGGTTTGTATTATATTGTGGATTTCGGACAAATTTGGTCGTTTGTGATACATAAATGTGGTTTGTGATATATTGTTGTTGATTTGTGGTTTGTGATATATATATGCTTTGTTGTTTACATGGAAAAGGAAAAAACAAAAAAAAAGAATTTTTAGTGGTGGCTTCCCGAGTGCCTCGAGCTATGCACTCGACAAAGAGGGTTTTTTTTAAAAAAACAAATTTCTTTGCCGAGTGCCTGAGCTGTGGCACTCGGCAAAGATTATTTAAAAAAAAAAATTAAAAATCTTCCCCGAGTGTTGCACTCGGGGAAGAAAAAAAAGAAAAGAAAACGGGCGTCGGTCGTCAATCAACGCGTCAAGTCTTCCCAGTGCCAGCACGGCACTCGACAAAGCCTTCCCCGAGTGCACGATTTTCGACACTCGGAAAGACGCCTCTTCCTTTGGAGGATTAGCTGAGGTTCTTCCCCAAGTGTTGCACTCGGAGAAGGTTTCCCAAGTACAATTGGGCCTTCCCAGTGCAACCGCACTCGGGAAGCCAGCAGTTCCTGTAGTGCGGGGGCGCTGGGATGCCTCGCCCCCAAGCTTCTTCAGCTGCTCCATGGTGAGTACAAGCTGCAGAAGGACGTTCGGAAGCAGGTGCAGTGGCTCTCCGACGAGCTGGACAGCATCTACCCTCTCCTCCGCAAGGTCTCGGATGTGCCATGGGATCGGCTCGACCAGCAGGTCAAGGTGTGGGCATGCAAGGTCAGGGAGGCATCCTATGACATGGAGGATGTCCTCGACACCTACCTCGTGCGCGCGTCGATGGTGGGGAGCCTACTGACCCTGAGCAGGCTCAAACGTGCCATGAAGAAGATGTAGATGGGTAAAGTCTTCACCAAGGCCAAGGCTCTCGCCATGGTATTGCTGGCGCCATCCAAGACATCAAGAAGTCTCTCGAGGAGATTGCTGAAAGGCGTCAGAGGTACAAACTTGACGAGATTATGTCCAAGCAGAATACAACAACATCAAAGATTGATCCTCGCCTTAAAGCTATGTACAAAGAAGTGACACAACTTATTGGCATCGACAAGTCAAGGAGGAGCTCATATCCGTGCTGAATCCATCCCATCTAGATCACGATGTGTTGGACAAGAAGATCATGAAGAAGGTTTCTATTGTTGGAGTTGGGGGATTGGGCAAAACCACTTGCAAAAGCAGTGTATGACAAGCTTAGGTCGAAGTATGATTGCGGAGCTTTTGTGTCAGTTGGCCGCGATCGTGATTTGGTTACAGTTTTCAAGGACATCCTCTTTCATCTTGACAAAGTCAAGTATCACAACATCCATACCACTGGAAGAGGTGTTGATCTCCTCATTAGCGAGCTCCGAGAATTCTTGGAGAACAAGAGGTACACATCAGGCACCCATTTGCAAATTGTAATTTGTTAGTGCCCTTTATGATACTGTAGCTGCCCAGTTAGCCCTTATATACTAGTCTGCATTATCCAATAGGTTATACAAAAAATATTATCTACGAGTAATCGATGGAAGACTTCCTAAGATTGATACTCTCATTTGTTACTACCACTCTACTTCACAACATATAACAAAAATGCATATTATTTCCAAGTCATGCAACACTTCTTAGTCGTCTATCAGAACACAAAAAGATGTACTTGACTCCTCGTGCCAAGTATATAAAAGGATAATACTTTTACCAGTTCTAAGCACAAAATTTCAAGTGTTGTCAGTGTTTTTTGTCGCCTCAAGGAAATATGGGCACTGTGCGTCATGAGAAACTATGCAGTAGCACACAAAATACAAAAATTAGAACAGGCTCAACCCATCGTGAAGACATAACACCCTATGTCATGTGTTTGAGGTTGTATTGCTTGTGGGTCGTATGCGAGAAGTATGATGAGATAGCAATCATGGGGCTCCCTACTCACCTTATATATATGGCCAGGGGTCAGGGCTACAAGATCGGAGTGGCCCCCGGTCATTTTTACAGATTTGTTCCTAGTCATTTACAATAGAATACTGGGATATCAGAGATGATGGTTATGTATGTCTTGTGTATCATGTCGATGGAGATATTCAGTGAGTCTAGAAATCAACCTTGCCCCACTACCACATCGATTTTAGGATACACCTCTTTTATTTAAAGAGAGGTGACATAAAATATCCGAGCCACCAGAAAATAACGAGTCAATTTTAGACACGGTTGCCCCATTTTAGGGATGACACAATAAAAACCGCCATTGTAATTTAAATCGATTCTATTTTTAAAAGTGGGTGACTTAGGACACCCACCTCTATTACTAAGGCCAGGGCCCACTAAGGAAACCTAGCTAGGCACTACAATGCTGAGTCTTACCCACACAACCACACATTTTGTCACAACCCCTCACAGCCCTCGTCTCTCACAACCACTACTCCCACCTCTCCTCCCACTCCTCGTCTCTTCCTCCTCTCCCTCCTTCTCATTTGCCCTCACACCTAGAGCGCTAGTCTCCGTGAGGGGCACGCAGAGCATGCAGCGATGCCAGAGCTGAATGCCTGGGCGGAGCCAAAGGGCCAAGGAACTTCATGTGGAGCAGTGGGCCAAGGCATGTTGCAGAGGAGGCGGCGCCAAGGTGCTTCGTGCAGGGGCGATGTGGCCGTGGTGCCTCGCATGACACTACCGGACTCCGGGCCTTTGCCGAGCGCCCAATGCTCTCGGCAAAGACGATCTGACGCTCGGCAAACTATTTGCCGAGAGCAGCTCTCGGCAAAGAGCCTTCGGCAAAACATCTACCGGCAAAGGATTTTTTACCGAGAGCCCCTCTCGGAAAAACATTTACCGAGAGTAATGGCAAGGCTCTCGGCAAATAGCTCTTTGCGCGCCGCGCCCTAGAACGCCGGTGAAAAGATAGGTAACGGTAGGTGACTTCTTTTGCCGAGAGCGATCGGCAAAGAATTGTAAAAAAAGATTTGCGGCCGAGGTGGTTTCAAAAAAAAAAAAGGTTTGCCGAGAGCCGACCACCAAGCTCTCGGCAAAGAGGAATATTTGTCGAGAGCCGTGCTCTCAGCAAAGAGTCCAGAGAGCTTTTTTTTTATTTTTTATATATTTCCAGCTTCAACGACACATATTTCACAAATATAACACATCATCCACATCACATATATCACAAATATGTCATCCACATCACATGTCTCACATTATAATCCATCTAAACATCTCAAATCCAACAACACATGTCCATCTCAAAGTGCTAAGTTCATCTCACACAAGTTCATGTCACAAAGTGCTAATACATGATGAAGAACAACAGGCTCACTCCCAAGGCTCCCACCCTCCCGACGGCTGGGTTGCTGCCACAAGGACAGTGTGAATCGGCTTGTACCCGACCCTCCCAAGCGGTCGTTGATGCTGGCGGAAGTTGTGGATACTGGTTGGTGCCACGACCCTCCCGGGACGACGGTTGCTCGGGCACATCATTCAACCCGTCACGATTGATTCTGCACAAAGGAGAAGAAAATTAGTAATTATAATAATACTAAGGCATATAATTGTAATCTAAGCGAGACAAGTCAAAATTTACGAACTAGGTATAAAATTGTAATCTAAGCCTAGACACATTAAAATTTCAGCAAAGACCTCTCCTGCACGGTGGGGTTTCCAAAACCCGCAAGAAAACCAACGGCACGATGGCCGCCCACCACATATCAACGGCACGATGGCGGCACACATATATATCAATGGCACGAAGGCCTCCCATCACATATCAACGACACGATAGCCGAGCATGCACATGCAAGAAAGAGCTTTTGTTAGAGAAGTTGAACTCACGTATGAGTAAGGTGGGTATGGGTAAGGCGGTGGAGGAGTGAACAGCTCTAGTGGCGCTGGGACGACCCATCGTGACGCCAAGACTTGCCACATCGATCGAGCCAAGGTGTCAACCCTCGCCCGCCTCCCCTCACCTCACCTCTCGGCCTCCCGCTCCCTCTGTCGCTCTTCCTCCATCCTAGCCTTATGCTCCTCGGCGCATGCATCCGGGCCTATAATTTTTCACCGCATTGTTACAAGCAATTTCGAGGAATGTAAAACCAATGAACGCATTTAATAAAACAGAAGTAACATGTAGTGCTGCCACACGATGCGTCGAAGTCATCACCTGCTTTAAGGCGATGGCACGCGCTACCGCTCAGGCCGCTTGTCCGGACCTGTGAGAGAGTGGGAGTGGTGTGCGGGTCGGCGTCTTTGTTGCCGATGAGGTACCGCCCATGCTTCTTGCCTCCTCCCACCCTCATGACGATGTCGCCGTCAATGTCCGCGGTGTGCGGATCCCATCCGCTTTATGGACTCCCCTTGCCGCATCAGTATGTAATCGACCGATCTTTTCGGGATGCTCTCGTCAGTGAACGACTCAAACTGGTCGTCCGGGTTCCGATTGATGTTGTCATCGCCTTGCCCTTGTGGGCCAGAACCCATGACTTGAGCTCTCCGCATGGCTGGTTTTGATGTGCAGCCGACTGTGAGAAAAACAACAAGACGATTATAAATCATGCAGGAATAAACGTCCCGAAAGAATAAATGAAGCTACACCAAGTCACGTACCCATCTAGCCCAATTCGTGGATGTTAAGGTTGCCCTAGTGGTGTGATACACACGCATCGCAAACGTCGTCCCGGAGGATGTGGTTATCCGCCAATTGCCACTCACCCACCTATCGACCATCATTTGCAGTGCCCGCATTTTATTGGCGCACTCACCAGAGGCTTTGCATTTACATCAAGTACATTGACAGATATAAGAACAATTCAAGCCTACCCAATCTCGGAAGAAATCAATATTGATGTTGTATATTTACCTTGTGTATCGCTCTTTGGTCGATGCATTAATCTTGCATCTTCTTTCTTTACCTTCCGATGCTCGAGGCGGCATAGTAATCGATGATGGCACGGAGCCGCGCCGTAATGCATGTACGAGATGCGACATCTAAAAGATTTGGCCGACGCCTTTGAGCGCCTCGCCTCGTAGCCCTCGGTGCATTTGAAGAAGTCCTGCGCATATAGAAAAAGATGTATCAATACACTGGTTCAAGAAACTCTAGCGAATGCAATGTATTGAGCAAAGTAGTGGGAGGAAGACTTACCCAAAACTCGACATAACCCGCTCCACCACGCCAGACGCGGCCCGTCTAAATCCTCCGCATCAGGCGGTGGCACGAGTGCTCAGACGTGTAGGGCGGCTCAGAGCTTGCGTGAAGCGAACCAAGCCTCGGAAGTGTTCCTCGCAGAGAAGACCCAGATGCCATTGGGCAACCTTTTTGTGAGCACCTAGGACCATGACCTTCCAAGACCTGTAAGTAATTAAGAAAAAACTGTAAGTTTCCATTGTGATTCTATCATATGTAGGAGCGAAAAAAATGTAAAAAGTTACGTACTTTTGCCCAACGGGTGAATGACAGGCGTAGAGCCTCGTGTATCGGCCATTTCAGGTAGGCTCGCCGGACCTCGTTGGTAGACACCCGAGGTTCCGGTGGAACTGGAACCTCCTGCCTCGGCCTCCTGCTCATCCTCCTCCTCCTCCCTGCTCATCCACTGCCTCGGCCTCTGCTCGGCCTCCCTCTGCCTCTCTCCTGCTGAGCCTGCTTGGCCCACCTGCTCTTCCTCCCGCCTCCTCGGTCTCTGGTGGTCTTTGCTGCATTGCTTTGCCGCCGAGGCGGTGGCGCGCCTAGGCCTCCCCGGCCGCCTCCTCCTCCCCGAGGTGGTGCCGACCCCAGCTTCACTGAGGGCCCGTGTCTTGCCCCCCTGTCATAAAGCGACTGACCGCCTGCCAAAGCTCTGCAGGGCCCGCCATCTTTGCACAATCACCTACAAGACATAAACAAT